GGTCATAGCTTTACACAGTCACACATAAACATAGTCATAGCTTTACACAGTCACACATAACCATAGTCATAGCTTTACACAGTCACACATAACCATAGTCATAGCTTTACAAAGTCACACATAACCATAGTCATAGCTTTACACAGAGTCACACATAACCACGGTCATAGCTTTACACAATCACACATAACCACGGTCATCGCTTACACAGTCACACATAACCACAGTCATAGCTTTACACAGTCACACATAAACATAGTCATAGCTTTACACAGTCACACATAACCATAGTCATAGCTTTGCACAGTCACACATAACCATAGTCATAGCTTTACACAGAGTCACACATAACCATAGTCATGGCTTTACACAGTCACACATAACCACGGTCATAGCTTTACACAGTCACACATAACCATAGTCATAGCTTTACACAGTCACACATAACCACAGTTATAGCTTTACACAGAGTCACATACTGTATAACCATAGTCATACCTTTACACAGAGTCACACACAGTCATCCATCCATCCATTCTCCACTGTTTATCTGGGCCCGGGTCACAGGGGCAGCAGTCTGAAGAGAGAAGCCCAGACCTCCTCCCTCTCCCCAGCCACCTTCTGCAGCTCCTCCAGGGGGAAACCCAGCTGCTCTCAGGTCAGTCAAGAGATATAATGTCTCCAGCATGTCCTGGGCACCACCCACACAGACGTCCAGGAGGCATCCTAGACAGATCTCCAAACCACCTATGCTGGTTACTTATGATGCAGAGCAGCAGCTACTCACCAAACTCCTCTCACACTCAAATGTTTGATTTTGCACCTGCCAAAGCTGTGCTCTGCTTGGTCTGCTGATACCTGTCAGCTGCCCTCTGAGCCCCACAAGCTAACCAAGCTCAGAAAAACTCCTTCAGCCTGATGGATTTCTTTACCACTGGTGTCCTCCACTGGGTTTGGGGGTTGCTGCTGCAACAGACACCAACAACCTTACTGCCGCAGCTCTGCACAGCTGCCTCAGCAATGGAGGAATAGAACCCGGCCTGTTCAGTCTCAGTCTCCAGCCTCCCTTGGAATGCAGGAAAGGTTCTGGTGGAGGTGTGAGTTGAAGATCTCCTGGACAGGGGCCTCTGCCAGACACTCCCAGCACATCCACACTATACGTTTGAGTCTACCAGGTCTATCCGGCATTTTCTCCCACCATCTGACTCAACTCACTACCAGGTGGTGATCAGTTGATAGCTCAGCTCCTCTCTTCACCCAAATGTCCAAGATGCACAATCATAGTTCTGATGATATGACTACAAAATCGATCATCGAGCTGCCGTCTAGGGTGTTCTGGTGCCAAGTGTACTAATGAATACCCTTATGCTCAAACATGGTGTTCATAATGAACAAACTGTGCTTAGCACAGAGGTCCAATAACAGAGCTCCACCCAGTTGTTCAGTTCGGACAGGTCTTTCCTCCCAGTCACACCCTCCCAGGTTTTATCATTGCTACCCACATCCTCTGAACTGATGTTTGGTGAATAAGCACAGAAAACAGTGAGAGCCAATTCGTCAAAGGGAGGCAGCCCTCTTGACCAAACCAAGGTAACTCCAGAGTGGAATAGAGTCTGGCCCCTCTCCAGGAGATCTAAATGGTATCTCTGTACCTCCCACACTAGCTTTGCCTCCCTCCTCACCAGAGAGATTACATTCCATGTCCATAAAGCCAGTTTCGGTAGCCGGGTAACAGTCCACCAAGACCTGTGCCTTCGACTGCCACCCGATCCACATCCCAATGGAGCCTGCAGGCTTCTCCAGCCGGTGCTGCGCCCACAGGAACACATGCAGTCAGACAGAACTTTCAGAGTCACACACAGGCAGAGTTTGACCTTTACACCATCAGTCACACACAGCCAGACAGTGTCAGAGCCTTACATTAAATCACAGTTTTACAGTGTCACACAAAGTCACAGGCATCACAAGTCACAGATCATCACAGTCATAGCCGCAGTGTGTTAGTCATATACACTCATGCACCATAACCATTCTATAACTATATGCATACATGAACTGTGTATTACTGGCATTGTGGTGAGTACTCACGCGCATGTGCCAGGCTCAATGCCCAGAGCCGCAGGTAGGAGGCGCTGTTGCTGATGCAGCCTAGGCAGTACTCCATAGTGTGGATAGACTGGTGTAGTACCACCTCTCCCAGATCAAACTGCCACAGAGAGGAAGAGCCTGTGATTCATTGTACTGCCTCCTACTGGCATGTCAACCCAAGCGCTTAAGTCACTTCTCTCAGGTTTGAACCCACTATCGCTACAGGATCCACACAGCTGAGCAGGACAACTATCTTCAGCGGACATGAGAGTGACACACAGGTGTATGTTGTATGAGGTCATACATTACACTGGTATACAGTGATTTTGGTGCCAATGATGTCTGAAAGGTTTTATATTAAGTTTATGGTGCTGATTAAGAATATGACTTCGTTTTGCCAGATTGGTTCTAGTTCTGAGATATTTAATAGTTAATTAATTAACGCAACACGTTTGAACAGCATTCAGAATTGCAAGAATATTTTTATTTTAGTTACAACTAGTAAGTAAACAGTCTAACATCAACCTGAAAAGAAATTAAAAATATCTAACAGTGACAGGAAAAAGTTATGTATGATTTGATTAAGTAGTACAATATTAATTAGTTATTAATTGTTACTAATGTCAATGATTCAAAAAACACTGTATATGCGATTTCCTTTTATGTGTGTCATCAGGACAATCACGTTGGAGACCCCAACAGTAGTCTGCCGTCATGTGTATGTCCCATCTGCCTTGATATCTCTCCTCCATCACCTTCATATCCTGGTGGAACCTCTCGCCTTGTTCCTCGCTGAAGTCTCCAAGGTTATCTGGAAATCTGTTTAAATGGCTATGGAGATGGTGCATCTTTATGCTCATATTAACTCCCAAATTTCAGAAGTTAGCAAGCATATCTTGCACCAATTCTTCATAATTGTCTGCTCTGTGATTACCCAAATAGTTCTTCACAACAGAGACAAAACTCTTCCAGGCCGAAGCCTCTGTGTCATTCATGCATTTGGTAAAATTGGAATCGTTCATGAGTGTACGAATCTGAGGACCATCAAAGATTCCAGCTTTCAGTTTTTCCATGTTCAGTCCAGGGAATGATCTACAAATATACTTGAAGCAATTACCCGTTTTGTCCAAAGCCCTAACAAACTGCTTCATCAATCCCAGCTTAATATGAAGCGGTGGGAGAATGATTTTGTTCTTGTCCAGCAGTGGCTTGTTGATATTTCATTACCTAAGACACCGTTGAGTCAAAAGACAGACCAACAGCTGCTGCATTTGTTATCACCAGTGTGCAAAATACAAGGGGGTCCAGGGGGTCCGATACCCCCGATTAACCCGTGAGACTCACTGAAAGTCTCAAAAGCAAAATTTTAAGGGGGTCTCAAGATCGGTATTGCGCAGCAATAGGGATATGGGGACCCCCCCAAATATTGACGGGTATTTCGCACACTGGTTATCACACACAAGTCGCATTGGGGGAATGCATTATTTTCATGGATGTCCATTATCTCAAAAACTAGAACCAATTCAGCAAAAGTAATGGGATTTTTGGATTCAGCAGCCTCAAAATACCATAAATCCATTCAAAAAACCTTGGCACCTGATTTTTTTTTGTAGACCTGTGTTATTGTTCTCCTGTTTGTGGTTAATCTATGGTTGTGTTCATCTCTGACCTCTGGCTGAGTCTCCCTGCTGGCAGGATCACTGTGGACTCCTCCTTCTTCTGCGTCATGGTCCCGCATCACAGACATGTCATCCTCACTGCCGCGACGCACCCGTTCATAGCCCTGAGCACAAACACACACACGCGTCCATAAAGCTGAACACAGGCACATATGGCTTCATGGGTCTGTACCCCGAAGCACTCAGATGCACTCAGAAACTCACCCGGTACACCCCCAGGCTCCTGTCCCCCTGGTGTAGCCAGTAAAGGTACAGTGGTTTTCCCAGAAGCAGAACTGGGATGGACAGGAATGCCACGAGCAGCAGGAACACCTGCAGGCCTGTCTGTGAGACCAGAGGACATGAACAGAGTGTTACCCTCAATCCCACGGGAATCAGCAGCTGTGCCGAGAGGAGCCTCAACTGCCATTCATTTTGTGTAAAGGACTGAATTGGACTGGATCGTCTTTAGCGACTCCAAAGGGCAATTTGATTTGCAGACAGCAGTCAACACAACCAACACAGATATAAATACATTTAAAATAATAATAATTTAAAAATATATATTATAATTATTTATTGATAGATGGATTTCGGTGGTAGTCAATAAGCATCTTTTTTTGTCTTAGAACGATCGAGTTGAAAATATGAATCTTTATAGCAACTGATAACTAAGTCCAGGACCGGACCATGGCCTATTGTATGATGCTGTTGGAGACTAGCAATCACTGAATCATCATCAAACTTGATTAAATACCTTGACTAAAATATACTTTGACAGTCATTGTTGTAGAGCACAAATAACAAATGTGACACATCGTAACTCTGAGGTGGTCCTGTGTGCACACTGAGGTGGTCCTCAGACAAAGTGTCGTTAATATGGGTTCTCTCAGTTGTTAGGAAGTCAACCAGCCAAAATAAAGTGCCAAGGTCAATGCCCGATATTCCGGCAGCCTCTACTCCTTTCTTTGCTTGATACACAAATTGCCGTAGGTGAATTACATTCTGTGTCAAGGCCAATAAACTACTCTTAACTATTTGATTAAACCCTTTCATAACTAAGTATGGGCCTCAGGGCAGTAATCCTTCAACACCTTTGGTGATGGAACCAAGGCCATTAGAACACCTATAGATCCTTTCCGACCTAGGAACTTTATTCTATGATTAAAAAAAAAAGTTAGAAAATAAATGTGAATATGCTACACAAAAACAAGGCACAATTCTTAAGCAGATGGCTGCTGATGCAGACAGGCCTGTGACTTTTTCTTATATTAGCCTGTTCAAGAGTCCTCCAGACGTTCCTTTCAGCTGGGAACACTGCATTCTGAGAAATCCTGCCTGAATGACTAAAAAGCATAGGTTTGAGTCATCAGGCCATCGCAGAATCCGGCGGCAGAGTGACCTGAGGCCTGGCCACAGAAAGGCTTGCCTGACGAGACTCCCACCTGGCCTGGGTAGAGGGGCTCCAGAGCCTGTCCCTGCATTAGGAACATACTGATGAAGTGGACGAGGATACTGGGTGCCAGCCAGGAGTCCCGCGCTGAGAATGCCAACCACTTGTAGACCACCATGAAGACCAGATAGCCAAAGAGGCACAATAGGAAGAGCAGTTCTGGCAGGAATAACAGGAACAGGGCGAATTTACGCCTGAAATAGCTGGGTAAATGCAGAGAACAAATCAAAATTAGGGGTTTAGCACCAGAAGTCAGTAAAAGAGAGAGAGCAGCCACAAGACATTAGTACCAGATATCAATAAAGTAAAGATCAGCCTCCAGACTTTAGTCCCAGCTGCCAGTAAAGGAGAGACCAGCCTCCAGACTTTAGTACCAGACACCAGTAAAGGAAAGACCAGCCTCCAAACTTCAGTACTAGATGCCAGTAAAGGAAAGGCTAGGCTCTAGACATTAGCACCAGATGCCGGTAAAGGAAAGGCTAGGCTACAAACTTTAGTACCAGACACCAGAAATGGAGAGACCAGCCTCCGAACTATAGTACCAGATGCCAATAAAAGGAAGACCAGCCTCAAGACTTTAGTTCCAGATGCCAGTAAAGGACAACCCAACCTCCAGACTTTCTGAAAAATGACAGTCTGTAAAATTACATTACTATCATTATGGCAATGAAACACTGGACACTCACATGTGGTTGAACACCCCTAGGATGACCCCAAAGGTCATGTGGCAAACTCCTAGGATGATGGACATCTTCATCTTATAGGAGTTGAGGAATGTGAGACGGTTTGAAGCTAAGTTCCAAATCTAACAGAAGGGACATGAAGCAGGTAAGTACCCAAGAGTACAGGCATGCTTGTGCAGCCCGCGTGTGCGTGCATATGTTTCAGCATCATAGGCACGTGCACTCACTGGATCAATTCCCACAGGGTACGGTCCACCGAAGACACCTGTGATGTTAGGGTCAAGCGTGAGGAGGCTGTTTGTGTGGAGAGTTTTATTCCTTAGGAGGAAGCACACAGGTTATGAGAGGCAGCGCAGACTATACCCAGCGTTGGGGGCCAGCTGTCCAGCTCAACATGGTCTTTACTGGTGCACAATGGATTCATTTAGGCAAGGGTATAGCTCAGATTCACATCAATGTATCTGGCTGCTATATCAAAAATTTCATACATCTGAAGAATTCAAGTAAACTACAGTATAGAAACCGAACTGGTATCGTTGTGAATAAACCATATAAACGGATGTCATATAGAAAAGTGGGGGCTGCTGGTAGAACCATTTGCAGTGGTGGGAACCCAGGGGAGCCTCTAGCTATTGAAAACATCAGGGGCTACGTCAAGTTCACCTGGGGCTTGACTATTTTTTTGTTTTATTTTTTTTAAGGAAGATTGGAATTGGGGCTAAAATACTTGGGGTAGGGCTTAAAATAATTGACCCCAAGTGATCGGACCTAACGACGCCAGTATGTCAACCTAAAGCTGCCCAGTCCCTCCTGGGCTTCCCCCCAATGAAGCAAGGGAGGGGTGCTTACATCCATGGGCCCTGGGTGAACATAGCCCTCACGCTCCAGCTTGAGCCGAAGATGTTCAGTGACTTGGAGAAGCAGTCGTTGTAGATGAGCCCCGTGTACATGGAAAAGAATCCCATCATCAGAATTATGTAGCGTCCCTCAAAAAGAATTCTCCATATCTGCAGCAGAAGAGGACACATTGTGCAGACAGGTAACTTTGAGAAAACCACACTGAAGAAACAACTCTGAAAAAAACACTGTGCACACAACCCAAGCACATAATAATAATTGATACTTTATTGATCCCCGTGGGGAAATTGTTTTTACGCCTCCCTCAACTTGCTCTTTGTAGAGTAAGCTGTCCGCGAAGGGCAGCCACCTGTAGCGGCGCCCAGGGAGCTGGGGGGTTAAGGGTCTTGCTCAAGGACCCACAGACGTGCTGAGGCTGGGTTTGAACCGGCGACCTTGTGATTACAAGCACACGGCTTAGCCCACTGAGCCACACGCTGCCCCCAACTCCAGGAGAACAACACTGCGCAAACAACACCAGGAAATCACCACTGTGCAAACAACACCAGGGGCCCATATCACAAAGCTGGATTTTTGGGTTAGCAAAATAACTTCTCAGATTTAAGGTAGTCTGGGTAAATGTAAGTGAATGAAGATAAAGTCCATTTCAACTGGGATGCCTTAAATCCAACATGATATCTATCTGACTGATCTCACTTTGTGAAAAAAGCTCCGGGAGTAAAACACTGTGGATACATTTCCAGGAAAGCAACACCTTGCAATCAAGCCCAAGAACACAACACTGCACAAACACAAGACCAGGAAAAGAAAACACAAGAAAAAGATTCTGGAGAAACGACTCTGGGAAAACAACACAGGAAAAACAAAAATCCTTCAAAAGGTCGAGCAAACTTGTAGGAACACAATAAAACAACATGGAAAACAGAAAAATAACAGCAAAAAACAACCAAAGAAGACGACAGAAGGTCTAGGAAATGGTCATGTACATATAACCCCTAACCTCATTCCTATGGCACTTCACAGTCGGACTCTTCTCCTGCACGAGCATCCACAAGGCGAAGACAGTCATCACGGCTCCATGACCCATGTCCCCAAACATGACGGCAAACAGGAAGGGAAAGGTGATGACGGTGTATGGAGCTGGGAACCGGACAGAGCAGTACACAGTCAGTTGGGCAGATCCCGCGGAACTGCCTGCCCTCAGCCCCTCTCATCCCGCCCCATCTCACCTGGATTGACCTCCCTGTAGCTCCCCACTCCGTAAGCATCCACAATGTTCTGGAAGCCGGAGGTAAATTTGTTGGTGTGGAGGAGGGTGGGGGGTGTTTCACTGCATGGGATCCGATTTACAAAGGAGGGAACCACAGCTCCACTTTTTCTCTGGGGGGGGGGTAAATTATTAAAGGTCCGGAACAACCCAGAGAAACGTGTGTGGAGAAATAGCCATGAAACCAGAAAAACACCCAAAAACATCATGAGTTTGCCTCAGCGAAAGGGCTCCCACTCACCGAGCCCTCCTCCAGTGCACCTCGCAAGGTGGTCAAGGCCGACACGGGGCACCACACCTCTGCGATCAGGCATTTGTTGGTGACATCAAAGCTGCACATGTTCAAAGTGTGGTAGATGGCCTTCATCTTTTGCACCTGGATGGCCCACGTGTAGACAGACTCAGAGGCCTTGTTCAGGACTTGCCTCAGATACTCCTCAGTCCTACTGAGCACCTGGGGGAGAAGGGGGATCCATGCCATAGGGAGGTTAACTGGGCGCGTCTGCTGGACCAAAGTATGCATGAATGTGTGGATATTAACAGCTGTGTGATGAGTAACGCTATAGTAAGTTAAAAACAAATATGAGGTACTGCCTCAAATAGCATAACACAGACAGGGTAGTATTGAGGTGCCCGGTACAGGTATCCATTCCCATCTAAACAGCCCCAGCATGTTTGGAGGGTCAGTGATTTCCTGGCTCATAACAGTGCAGAATCTGGTCCAAAATGACTGGCATGCCCAAGTAGGTGATACACAGCATCAAAAATCAGGTAGAGCTTCCTAAGAAGAGTGACAATGCGCTAACAACACTGGAACAACTCTGCCATGCTAAGCTATGCTAACAGCAGCCAAGATCATACATACAGTGTGCAGGTCCTGGATGCGGGTGGCCAGACTCTCCATCACATCACATCGCTCTTCGTCGCTCTCGGGGTGGGGGTACAGGTGGCAGTGGTAGCTAAGAGAAACATCTCACTGTGTGAGACCTACATGAGTTCATTAAATGGGTTGGAGGTCCACAGAAGACTCAGAAAGATAAGACAACTTACCTCTGACATATCTTCTGGACCTTCTGCCCAATCTGGTCACCCCAAAATGAGATGAGGAAGACAACGGTCTCCGTGCTTTCCCCCTGAAAATGCACAAAGTTACGGATGCAGCTTAGGCAGAGTAATAACACATGGGCATCAGTACACATGGCACTACTGGAGAACTGCATTGGGTATCCATCCAAGGTCACAAATGCGCTTTCAGGTTAAACCCAGAGTAATACTCAGCAGCTCCTGGAATGACTAAGCTCCACTGATCTCACCAAGTTCATACAGATACTGTGTAATACGGAGCAGCTCCTGGGATGAGTGAGTTCCGCTGATCTCACCGTGACAGGATCCTTGAGGCTGTCCTCCATCTCTGAGCAGCTGAGGATCATGTACCCCTTACACACCCGCCACAAGAGGCGCTCAAACGCCTCTACCTTCACACGGGGGATGAGCCCAGAGATAAACCTGCAGCAGGAAGATGGTCAGCATGCCATGAGGAGGGGAGTGAGCATATCTTAACCCTAAACCCCAAGCCTCTGTATCTGTGTATCTGTGTTAGTGTCTCTAGGTGTTTCTGTGTTTCGTTGCATCTATATCTCTCTGTCTCTGTGTGTCTGTGTCTGTCTGTCTGCCTGTATCTCTGTGTCTGTCTGTCTGCCTGTATCTCTGTGTGTCTATGTCCGTCTGTCTGTCTGCCTGTATCTCTGTGTCTGTCTGTCTGTCTGCCTGTATCTCTGTGTGTCTGTGTCCGTCTGTCTGTATCTCTGTGTGTCTGTGTCTGTCTGTCTGTATCTCTGTGTCTGTTTGTCTGTTTGCCTGTATCTCTGTGTGACTGTGTCCGTCTGTCTGTCTGTCTGTCTGTATCTCTGTGTGTCTGTGTCCGTCTGTCTGTCTGCCTGTATCGCTGTGTCTGTCTGTCTGTCTGCCTGTATCTCTGTGTGTCTGTGTCTGTCTGCCTGTATCTCTGTGTCTGTCTGTCTATCTGTATTTCTGTGTGTCTGTGTCCGTCTGTCTGCCTGTATCTCTGTGTCCGTCTGTCTGTCTGCCTGTATCTCTGTGTCTGTCTGTCTGCCTGTATCTCTGTGTGTCTGTGTCCGTCTGTCTGTCTGTCTGTATCTCTGTGTGTCTGTGTCCGTCTGTCTGCCTGTATCTCTGTGTGTCTGTGTCCGTCTGTCTGTCTGCCTGTATCTCTGTGTGTCTGTGTCCGTCTGTCTGTATCTCGGTGTGTCTGTGTCCGTCTGTCTGTCTGCCTGTATCTCGGTGTGTCTGTGTCTCTGCGTGACTATGAGCTGCCTACCCCAGCTTCGCTCCCAGACGCTGCATGCTGGTGTAGCCTGTCACAGAGTCCTTCTCCAGCGAGGGGAACTCTTCATATTGAGGACCCAAAGGCTCACGCTGAAGAGGGAGAGACATACAGACTCACAAGGAGAGTCACAGTCACAGAGTCATGGTCACGGAGTCACGGGGACAGTCACAATCCCAGGGTGACGTTGAGAGAGTTATGGTCACAAAGTCAGACTCAGAGGAGCATTCAAGACTAACAGGAAGCAAGCAAGCTGACACCCAGTGGGGGCCGGCCAAAGGGACTCATGCTCACCTCAGCATTGCGCTTCACAAATGTGTGGGTGACCTTCAGCATGTGTGTGTACTCTGTCAGCTCCAGAAGGTTCTTCTGCAGCTTCTCCTTGTTCGTGGCCACCTCCCTCAGCTCCACCTCGAGCCGCTGGAGCTGCTCCTGAACCGAGTGTGGGTCATACAATTAGGACCACGCTGCACACTGTCAAATTCTCCAAACAGCTGCTTGGTAATGAGACTGAGAGACAGAGGCCTGCACACAGCCGAAAAGGTGGACGGACAAACAAGGAGGGACAAACAGACGGAGATGGAAAAACAGATGGGCAGGCAGGCACAAACACAGGCTGAGGGACACACAGACAGAGAGACAGGCAAACAGAGAGGCTGGTGACAGACATAGCTCACCCTTATCTCCAGGACATGTCTGGGTTGTGGAGCCAAAGGCCTGACCTCTGCCTCTGGTACTGGGATGTTAGCCTTCCTGATCTCCCTCAGCAGGTACCCTGTCATGGACACGCCGCGTTATACTACCGGCTACCAGCAGCCTACATGACCAGAGCAACAGCACCACGGTGCTTTGTGGAGCAACATGTCAAACAGAGTCCAGTACAAGGACAAAGGGAGCCTGGAGGCAATCCCACAAGGCTGGAGTACATCCTGGATGGGAGGATGGTCTATTGGAGGGGCACACCCTCACACACACACACACCCTCACACACACACACACACACAC